GCAGCGTTGGAAGAATCCATACTTTTGCAGCGGTACAACCCTGTCTCTGAGGCTGGGAAAAAGGCCCAGTTTGAACAGTTCAGCGAAGACTGAGTTGGTTCAGTGGGCATGGAATGCTGACTAATTGTTGAGGGGAATTAAATTGGGGTTGTGAGAGAGTATTGTGGCCAGAATAGTAACAGGAGTGCTTTAATCTGCAACATTCCATTGTAGGTCATGTTTATATATAGCTCGGCTTTTCCTATGTGAAGAATGGTGCAGCAAGATCTGTGTTTTGATTGAGGCTCCTAAAGCAGCGAGTGCTTTGGAATCAGCTGCTGCGTGTCAGCTTTCTTTCTTCACATCACAGTGTAGCATAAGTTAAAACTATGGACATATGTGAAATATAGGTAAAATTAAAAACCAATTTAAATGTTAAGAACTGCTGGATAGCTCAGTGGTTTAGGTATCAGGGTGTGGAGCCAGAGGTTGGGAGTTTGATTCCCCACTGTGCCTCCTTGACAGGGGCTAGTCTTGATGACCTATAGGGTCAATTCCAGCACTGCAGTTTTGATGATGAAGATAGTTAGACTATTTTTGATGAGGAGTGGGCTGTTCAATAGCATTACCTCAACCATTTACTAAAGCTTCTTCTGTACACTTTTATCAGATGATGTCCCTGCAGGTCTATTGTGCTTGTGGTCAGCCACTATAGTTCTGTGGCCCAGTGGGATCAGAAAGACAGATGCAAAATGCAAGGTGGTCAAATAAATGTATTCAGAATTTAACAAAAATACAGAGAAGCAGGCAGCAAATTTACAGAATGAAGAAGAGGGTTAGAAAGAAAAAAAGCTGCTGGTATATGTGCTTAATAAGAGAGTTGCCTCAAGATATTGGCAGATTAAACACTTCCCCTGCTCCTCAGGGAAAGTGGAAGAGAAAAAACTCTCTTAGGGCAGTGAAATGTGCTGCATCGCTTATAATTTTTTTAAAAATATATATTTTATTTGCCTTGTCTTACAAGCCTGGTCAAGAAATTGCCCTCAGCTGAATCCACTTCTGTTAAGCTTAAGCTTTCACTGATGGGTAAAAACAAATACGGTTGATAAACTGTTTAAACCAATAAAATTATTGCTTTCAACCGTATTTATTTATTTATTTATTTATNTGATTGATTGATTGATTGATTGATTGATTGATTGATTGATTGATTGATTGATTGATTGATTGATTTTTATCCTGCCTATCTGGACCAACAGTCCACTCTATTGTCCTGTGACTTCATTCTCTTGTGTTTGGGTAAAATGTCTGTTAGTTCATCCAGTTCTAGACAGAGCCATATTGTAAGGAGTGTGAAGATATCACTCCACAGAAATGGAAAGTGTACAGGATTATGATCATCGGTTCTGCACTTCCACCATAAGTGCTGCAAAAGCTTGCTGATGTAAGTATAAAGTGCATTGAGACAAGTTTTGTCTATATGAGGTGTGGCAATTTTAAAACTTTGGTAACTTGTATGATAGATTCTAGGCCGTCTAACAAGAATCTTGGCAAGTAGCTGTAGGACCCTGTGTTGTTTTTGTCTTGGAAGGAGCTGCCATGAGGAAATTCTCTTGCAAATACTAGATTCTGGCCACTAGAGGGCAAAATTATGTTACACGTTTCCTGTTATGGAAAAGACTCCATACCCACAAATTCTTCGCTGGTAAGTGTAAGAACATCTTTGTTTTCTTGCAGTATGTCTGTTAACATGTCAAGGATGCCTGCAGGCCAAGGCAGAAAATGCACCAAAACTCACCGGTCTTCAGTTGTGGCATGAATCCTATTTGAATATAAGGGCTTCAACTTGTCATGTGTGAAAAAGTGATGGATAGAGTGAGTGTTTCCAGCCCCCCCCCAATTTAAGTAGAGAGAAACCTCCATTTGCTAGGGGTTCCAGGGCAGTGACATCCAGATGGACTTAAAAACCTTTACCCTACAAGATTCCCAAGGACAGAAGGGTCTCTCAACTGGAAAGTCATTCTCTGTGGCAGAAACATGGGCAAAAATGGCAATGGAGGAGGATTCACGTAGTGCACATTTCCTCATATATTTGCTTTAAGCCAATGCAGAAGACCTGGATAGATGTTGAAAGTATGCAAAACTGTTAAATAAGGCAGAGCTTGGGGGTGGTAGGATTGGGCTGTGGCTGAGCTGCATAGATTTTAGAAATTGTAGCAAAACAAAATTTTAACAAGATTGTGTTAAAGTCTTCCATAAAAGTACACCCTTTGTGCCAGAGTCAGGACATGCTAACCTGGGGACTAAATGCAATGCTCTGCACTTCTCCATCTGGACATTTAGCTGAGGAAGGAATTTGTGACCTTTTTGATGTTAAGACTGCAGGTCCCATGACCCCTCACTATTGGCATCACTGGCCAAGGGGTACTGGGAATAGCAGTCTGATGGTCTTGGGAAGACCATAAATGAACCATTCTTGCTTTAGATTCCCAAACAGGGCCACTCGCCTGGAGTCTTTCTTGCTCTGCCCCCAATTAGGGAGCTGGTAGAAGGAACAGGGCAGATTTCTCTCCTTGTTATTGCTTGTCCCTGTTACATACAGCACTGATGTTAATGATAGAAGGAACAGGACAGATTTCTCTCCATGTTATTGCTTGTCCCTCCTATAACATCATCTGTTTATGGTTCTGATGCCACCCAGTGACAGAATTCAAACAGGCCCTGAAAATGTTAATTTTGGGGAGTAGTAGCTCAGAAATATACAAAGAGTCTAGTGGCATCTTACAAGGTAACAGCTTTTATCTGGTTCCAACTCCATTACTCTATGATTCTGTGGCATAAGCTCTGTGTGAACAGTAGCCCCCCCTTTACAGCTACATGGAATACAACCTCAGTACACAAACATTTATGCAATAATGGGAAGGAAATGAATGTGAAATGTGGTAGAAATGCAAAAGAAATAGGGCCACCATGGTGATGGCCTTTAACTGTGGTCATTAAAGGACATTTAACAGTTTCGGGGAGACAAGTTAAGATCAAGGGTGGGTTTTAAGATTTGTTCAAAGCTCATGAAGGGTGGGGTGTGTGAAAACTATCTTGAAGCATAGCTAAGTAGATTAACATGTGCAAGGTGGAGAAAATTCTTTGCCTAAGGCAGTGTAACTGGCATGTTGCCCCACACCATGGGTTTCCCATCTGTGGGGCATGCTCTTCTAGGATTATGTGAAGAAATTCCAACCAATATGAAACTAAGATTTTCATTAAAAAATGATCATCCTCATAATCTGAAACGGATTTTGGTAGATATCACTGCTGTAATTTAAGATTTAAGAAAAAACAGTGGTTTGAAAAAACAAATGTTTGTGTTCATTTCAAATTACAAATTGATTTGTTATTGTTGTTAAAAAAGGTTAGAAACATTGCAGTAAAGGAGAGAGAGGGAGGTTTGAGGGTTTCTCAGAAATCAGTAATGGGGTGTGATGCTGAAAAGTTTGGGAATCCCTGGCTTGCATGCTTTGGCCAGGATTGAGATAAGAATGGGAAGAGAGAATAAGAATACAAATATTAAAACCTGAGGCGAAATACGAATATTTTCCTCCACATCATGATCCTATAAATGCCCATCTACTGAGGCTGTATTTCAAGCATCCAAACAAGCAGGCTTCAGTCCACAAAAGCTAATACTAGATAACTTGTGAGTCTTTAATGTGCCACAAGAGTGTTGATTTTGTTAAAACAGAGTGTAGATTAACATGGTAATCCTCCTGGTAGTTCAAAAATGCAATCTTTTCCAAATCTAGGTTTCATTGAAGTAATGTGAATAGTGCTAGCTTGGCTATTTACCCATCTAAAAGAGCCACTTGGGCGTTGGAGTGCAGAGAAGGTGATCAGCTGCCCCCACCACCCCTGCTATCTTCTCTCCATCACCCTGCCACTGCTGCATCCAGAAACATATTGAGGAGTGCTCCCAGCCCGCAAAATGTTCACCAGGAAGGGGAGAATGGTCATGGAGATGAGAAGGTAGTGGCAGCTGGTGACTCCAGTTTTGGAGTGCTGTACATTTATTCTGGGTTTTAACCTGCGCCTTACAGCAGCGACCCATAGTGCTGAACCTTTTTGGTGGATAGGGAAAAACACCCTCGATAATAAAGTGCAGTTTAAAACCTGGAATAGATTGATAATACACCCACAATTGGAGTCACTATCAGCCGCCACTGCCTGCAACACTCACTGGCTGCAGAATGCTCCCTGACAACCCAAAAATGTACAAAGAAGGGAGGGGAGGTGGAGGTGCCTTTCTCTGCTGTTCATTGCCTACATACCCTCGTTGCTTCCTCATTGGCTTCTTGGAGCAATGCCCCGGGAAGAGGGTACAGGCAAAACAATTCCCAGCCTTTCCTATAATGCAGTGGTGTCGAACTGTGGCCCTCCAGATGTTCTTGGACTTCAACTCCCAGAAGCCTTCACCACCACCTCTGCTGGCCAGGATTTCTGGGAGTTGAAGGCCAAGAACATCTGGAGGGCCACAGTTCGACACCACTGCATAATGCCTCACCTTGTGGACCTTCGGGGCTGAGCCATTGTCTCCATAGCCTGACAACAGTGCCTGGTTTGTGCAGACCAAAGGCAGAAGAGAGAACAGCACCACTCACTCCCTATCCTTCTCACACCTCCCCACCTCCTGGTGAGTGTTCATTATGCTTGGTCATTAAGCACATGAAACATAGCACTAGCCCCATCCTCTAGAATGAGTATGATCTGAGGATTCCTTGTAGATGTCTCTCAACAAATATGTTATTGCTGGACTGGTGAACATGAGGTCCTGGGCAGCCTGCAGAGAATGAACACAGTGCCTTAAATGTGGAACATGTCCATGTGTTGTGCAGAAGGACCCTTATAGAGGTGCAGCCATAAGCTCTCCCGTAGATCCAAGATGCATTGTTTCCTGCCCTTTTGTAATCAACAGCAGATGTTCCAACTGTCATCTGTGTAATAGGTAGTTTTCAAGACATTCTGTGCAATTATAAAAAGGGCTTTATTGATCAGTAATGATATCTACAATTTGTGCCTCTACATAGTTCTTTTATATTATCAGCATGCACTTTAAATACATAAAGTTTCAAGGGCATTTTGAGCTTCCCATGTTCCCTAATTTTCTCTTCCTCCTTGTTTTACATCTCCTCCCCCCTCTCCTCCCTGGATTATAAACAAACAAAATAATTCAATGGATATGGGAGGGGAGCTTCAAAATGAAAAGCACCATACATTCTTAAGGCAAGCCATAAAGCTACAAAGTGCATGAAATTCAGCCCAGTCAATTCTAGAGCCAAGCAGACAAGTTACAATGAATGCAATTAAACACACTGGAAGCTAGAATGGAATTCTGCTGCAAAAATGAATTTGGGGTGCAATTTTAATTGGATTGCTATACCCAAATGGGCATTTACAGAGCAGTGCAATCATAAAATGCTCTGTTTTTCATGATATGCTGGCTGAATGATACCTTCCTGAATGATCTTACATTCTCATCAAGTACTTTAAGGCTAACTTAGCTCATGTTACATTTTACAGCCAACTAGGAATGTTGCCTCAATAAGAGCAGCATTCTTCATATGCACATAAGCAGCACATAGAAGGAAGTATTAAACCTGTATTCTGTAAGCACTGATTAATAAACCAAACTGCACGATAGCAGAGGGCAGAAGAAAACTCTTTTCTGTCAAACTGGCTAAGGTTACTAATATGCAGTGTATTCAATGCCTCAAGCGTGGCTTAAATCCTTCAGAAGCGTAGATATCTGAAAAAATTCCCTGCAGTCTTCTGGAAATAGAGGGTTATTTTCTTCCTGTACAGGTGTGGTGTGGCTATAGAGTCTCTACACATATCACAGACCTATGCAATTGTGCGAAATTATACTGTATATGTTATACTAGATTTTGGGAACTTCCCATTTAATCCAGTATTGTTTCTTGTCATTCTCTCTAAAAACAATCGCTTCCAAATTCCCAGATAGAGATGGTTCTTTTTTTTAAAAATTTTTCTTCTGTAAAGTTATTGATTGAACAAAACTGGAAGAAATAAAACATAATGGTGACAATAAAACTTCGGTCTAGGAAAACATAAGAATGGCGAAGAGAAAGGGAAATGGGTCTCAGTGGAGCTATGAACATGCTGGGAAACATTTGTTTTGTAGCCTTCCAGAGAGTAAATTATGAAGAACCTGCAATGAATGATATGATTCAGGGATATGTAGCATCATGATTAATTCATATTATTATTATTGTGTTTGTCTGATTGTAGGGATTTGGATTCCTCACTTATTTCTTTGTGGGTTCTTGTAATCAATATTGAAGGGAAAATGAAAAATAAAGTGAGGGAGAAATTGTGATGAAAGATGGCATTTAATAGGAAGCCTGACACCAGGGGAGCTATATTCAACTTTGAAAGCCATCTGAAAAGATGACTCCAATCCTGACAGTAATTTTCTCTCTCCCTTTCTCTTTTGCAGTTCCTCCATCCTGTCTCTTGTAATTGCTCCTTGTTGTGTGGCCAGCTGTTTAACCCGTTTTTGTTTTGTTTGACTTCCATCTTTTTCTGTCCCCTCCTCCATAAGCTTCATTTACAGGGAGATCCTCCTACATGGAAAACTCCAAGGGCAGCTCAACTGGCATCAAATTTCTAAAGCTTACACATATGAAATGTAATGACATCTATAAACATCTCTTCCTTCACCCATCCACCCATCCAGAAGGAGAGACACATGCAACCTGATAGCCTCCCTTGGGAACCCCAGACCAGTGATTGGCTTTTGAAAGAGAGAGAATAGAGAAAGGGTGGACAACAAGGTGAGCAAAGATTTTGCATGTGTGTGTGTTGTCACCTGATTGGCTACTAAGGGCATCACATCTTGGATCAAATGATTCAACCTTCCTATGTTTTTGCATGATTGCAGAAGCTGAATCAAATGTAGCGAAATGGAGATCAACCTCTGCTCCTGTGTGGTCTCAGGAAGGACTTGATACTCTTCTTGGGGGTGGTGATAGGGTGGCCTTCTGCAGTGAAGGAAAGGGCTCCTGTACCATCAACATTTGTGTGGAAGCAGGTATTTCAGCAGGAATAGCTTGTCAGTGAAATTATATCTGCTGAAATTTCTTCTTCCATCCTACTATTAAAAGGAACAGGAGCCCTGTCTTCCTTTGCATGTGACCACCTTCTCAGAGGGAGGGGATTAAGAAAAGGAGTAAAGGCAAGGGCTAAATCTCTATGACGCTGGCCCATCGCAGGCAAAGTGGGGCGTCTGAGGGCACGTTGTTTCTCTGGATCTCGTTCCCATCCAACCTCAGGACTTGTAGCCTGGAAAAGTTCATGATGTCAACAAGGGTGCAGAAGCTGCTGATGGTAAATTCTGGAAAGAAGGAAAAGGAAGAAAGAATCCCATGTCACTTAACATATATATATTTTTAAAAACAGCAATATTTATTTATTTTGTTTCTTAGAGTTATAAAGACCCACATGAGTGCAATGCACTACTCTGGGTGGTTTATAGCAGGATAAAACATGATAGACATAAAATAGATAAAACAGGTATATTAGATAAAACTGTCTATTTGTTGACATAACTAAGTCACATCCCCACAAACTGTTGGCCAAACAATAAACTGTCATTAAAAGAGGGGATTCTGTCCCCGGAGAAAGTATATGAAAGTATATTCACTGCAGAATGTTTTCCTACTTTCCATATTTTGCAAATTAGCTTGCTTTGTTTTTTCATCAGGTTTCAGGATCTATGCACAGCTTTGTTCACAGTTCTGATCTCTCAGATATTAAGGCCTGCCTGAATCACCTGGAGCACTAATGTAATTAATCTCTAATGACAGTCAGGCCTGACCCTCAGGAAAATTGTGTTATTAATATCCGATTTATCATGCAACTTTAGAAATCAGCTGAGTCCTACCAGCATCTTAAAGCTTTAGATTTTGCTATGACCACTGAAGGTCAGTATTCTCATCATGAGAAGAGGCAGTAAATTTAATACATTGGCCCTTGACATCATAATGAGCATGAAGCTTGTTTAAGGTCAGATTTTCTTCTCTAAATTGAACTCTAGCCATAAAGCTAGCATAGTAGCCATTGCTAGGGGTTAACTTCTTTGAAGGTCTAAGGTTTAGGTCATTTTCAGAGGTGATACAAAAATCATTGTTTTATTGCACACAGCTCCAATGTGAATTACAAACATTAAAACATTTCACATGATAGTGTTTTCCTACTGTGATATCTGCTTCCTAATGTCTTTGGGGCTGAAGCATCGGCCACTTCTCGAGAAAACCTATAGTACAAAAAACCTCCTTTTCCTAGCAATGGCATTAATAATGCACTTGGTGAAACCAGTCTCTGTTCACCGTTGAGTGAAACTGCACATAGGACATTGAAGGTCCACGTAAATAATCTGTGCAGCTGGACTCTCTGTTAACTCTAATAGAAATATACTATATGTGACACATCACACCCACATGTGTGAACAAAAGCTCCTGCTTTGGTTAGTATTTTTACTGGATTTTGTTTTAACATGTGCAACTGAATACAAATTATATATTTATCCCATTTTCCTTCTCATCTTTCGTTCCTTTCATTGTTGCTTTCTTTGGGTCAGATTTTATGTCATAAGATTGTTAAAGCTGGACCCTCTTATGTTGCTGATTTGTCTGTAAATCTATTCATACAGATGGATGCGAAATAAATAAAAATAATGCATGAGCAACAAAGACTCCAGAAGCACCTTAAAACCAACACATCAATTATAGCCTGAGCTTTTGTAGACGGTAGCCCCAGCTTCATCCATTCTCTGTTCTCTGAAGTGAAATCCTCCAGAATTTCAGTTTTTATATGCAAAGAAGAAATAGCAGAAGGACAGTGAGATCAGAGGGGAATTGTATTTCACTAGTACTACTGGCAGTGACTTCACTGTGTTCAGTCCCATCCCCAGTTGTATGTGTATGTATGTATGTATGTATGTATGTACCTGAAATTCTGGATAGCATTTCATGCCTCTGAAGTGAACTACAGTCAAACTAAAGCTCCTGCTATAACAAATGGAAAAAGAAGTGCAGGAAAGAGTCAGAATAGCTGCGATGGTGGACAACTATGGGTAGGGGGAGAATGAGAAGAAATCTCCAAGGTGAGGCAACCATAACCCCTTGTTTTCAGCTGCAATAGGTTAATACGGATAACCATATTTTCTTCTTTTAAAAATGCATGTGGCAAGCTGCCTTGGATGCCACAAAAGAGAAAGTCATGTATTATTTTATGTGAATTAAATGAATAAATAAAACAATGCTTTTCGGAGCTGAAGGTCCTCGTAAGTAATACTTCTTGGAGCTGCAGATCATTCCAAAATATATTCCTAGCAGAAGGAAATTAGAATTCCAGGTGTACAACTGGCTTGGTTTCCCCTTAGGCTTCCAAAAAAGCCTGTCTGTCTGTCTGTCTGTCTTTGTTAGTAAGTAAGTAAGTAAGTAAGTAAGTAAGTAAAAAGGCAAGAGCAAAATGGATGGAGTTTTGTCTCCTGGAGAGAGTTTGCTGCAGTGATTCTTTTCAGCAGCCAGAGGGCAACCGGCAAGAGCAAAATTGATGGAGTTTTGTCTCCTGGAGAGTTTGCTGCAGTGATTCTTTTCAGCAGCCAGAGGGCAACCAAGGTCTGGAATCTGGCTGCACTTGGAGGGGTTACCTTGAAGGCTTGGTTCTGGTTTAAAAGCTATAAGGGCAGTACTCTATGGATCACGTTTTATATTCTAAACCCATTCCCAGCCCTGATTACTTATTTTTAAAGCCGTGAGATCATTTTTGACTGCATTTGAAGATTGATGATCCAATGTGAGATGTCTGCAATAACAGAAATAGCACTGGATCAGCAAGAATGCAGAGTTTACTTTGTTCTTTGCTGTCTAGATAGCTCAGTATGTTAGGGAGCTGAGAGTTCAATTCCCCATTGTGCATCCTAGAAAAGCCAGCCTGAAGAAGAGAATGGATGAACAACGGCTGAGTACTCTGTACCTAGAAAGCCCTGAAAAGGGTTGCTGTAATCTCATTGCAAAATTTTTAAAGAATCAAAATGAAACGTGTGTGGCTATCATCTCTTAGGAGATAATCACAGTGGAAGAAATGAAAGGTTAGACATTCCCTTACTTCACATTATGGAGATGCCATAAACTATACACTTGTCAAACGTTTGCTATGGCAGACCATACCACATAATATCAGGATAAATATACTACCTGCTTCTACAAGCAACAACAACAAAACCTAAAAGAAACAAACAAACCCAAGAAAAACCCCTCAACAAAACAACCACGTGCCTGGATGAACAAAAAGATTTGGAAAGTCACAGAAAAAGGTCAGCTGTAATCAATATAAACATACAGTGATGTTGGTAATGGAGGGAGCAATGATATGATGTGTAGGACCTATACAGCAGGACAAACAACAGTCTAGTCTGTCTGAGGCCATGAAACTCATTACTTCCAAGCTTTTGCTGTCATCTTTATATGGAAAGTAAATGTAAAGAATCAAAATGAACACCTGGAGACTATACCTGGCCATTATCAGAAATTGGTGCCAAAGCAGCTTATTGAAGTAAGATTATAAAAAGTATGGGAAAAATCTAAAAATGAATAAGTAGCAACAGGGTAAATGGCTTAGGTGGTAGAAAGAACTGTAAGGGATGTTTTAATGAAGGGTAGTATATGGCTACCTTTGTGACCCCTAAAATTCTGAGAAATAGGGGGAATATTTTGTAGATATGGAAATTGACAATGCCCCCTATTGTCTTTTAGCCCTGATGGTACCCATCAGTGTGCCCTCTTCAGGTCTTACAGCTGAAACCTGTGTAGAATTTGTAAGTGTGGTGGGGAACATTGCAGAGTTTTTAATTTCTTTTGCTATACAGTAGAAGTACAGAGATCTAGCAGAGGAGACTAGCTGCAGGTTCCCCAGAGTAAATCCCTTTCTCGTTATCTAGCACTTAAAGTCTCAATAACTCACTCTGAGACATTTGTAGGAGAAAGAATACAAAATAATTCTTTACTTAGAGTTACTTGAAATTACAGATTTGTGTATGCTCCTTTTTTTTTTTAACTGTGCACATACTTAAGAAACCAACTGAACAAATCCATAGCAAACAAACAACTGCCTCCAAATGACAAAAGAGAGGCAGGGCTTTCTCCGAATTCAAGGACTGGAAGGAATGATTGGTTGGTGCTAATTGACAGCCGCCCCAGGCCAGAATAGTTTTTCCAAGTTACACAAACCACAAACAGCATGCAGGCTTGCAAATAAAACTGCAGTAGGGGACACATGCATAAGTCCTGTCTTCAACACACAGACAGAGAAAAGTCACTGGAAAGGTCCAAAAAGGCATGCATTAGCACATCCACTTGCATGCATTTCCAGTGCTGGCATAATCAGAAGATGCGCTTTATCATGTTTCCAAATCATGCAAGTACTATAAGAGCATTATGGTAAAGGCGCTTAAGGTGCCTCAAGATGTTAATGCTAAACACACGAAGATCAAAGGAACTTCCAGTGGATGAGACACTGCAGGCAGAACTAGCTTATATCTCTATGTCCTTCCCACTTAGAGCCCTATGTGGTTTCAGGCTAAAACATCCGAACACAGCCTAAGAGTATGTATGATTACTTGTCTAAATTTCCTTAATTTTAATGCATACTGTGAAAAGCAACTCTTGTTAAATAAATTGTATGCACAGACAAAAGAGTTGTGGACAACCCTTTAATCCCTGCATGGTGCTATTTTCTCAACCCAGTGGGATCTCCGTTATGGGGTTTCACAGGGGTTGACCATCTCCCATCTATATGAAACCTCAAGGAGAAGACATCCAGAGATTTATAGTGTGGTGCCACCAGGATGCTGATGACACACAGCTCTAGCTCTCCTTTGACACATCTGCAAAACATGCTACTTGGGTCCTTGAGTGCTTCCTTTGGTATTTGTAATGGACTGGAGAAGGGCCAATAAATTGAAACTGAATACAGACAAGACAGAGATGATGCTGTTAAGAGGATCATTGGACTAGTTAGGATTAAATTTACCTAGCCTTGATGGGGTTAAAATCCCCCAGAAAGGTTGGGTTGTGGCTTGGAGATACTTCTGCACTTAGCTCTCTCTATGGAAGCCCAAATGTCAGTCAGGAGTGCCTTTTATCAACTTTGGTTGATTGCTCATATTCACCCTTACCTGGATAAGAAATGCCTAATGACAATGGTGCATGCATTAGTAATCTCAAAAACTGATACTATAATGCTCTTCATGCTTGAAAAAGCAAAGCAAAAGCAAAGCATATTGCATATACTGTATGTCACCACATAGTGCTTAAAGCACTCTCTAGGCAG